TTTTATTTATATGAGATATTAAAAAATAATTCATATACACAAGAAAGCGCATATTTCCGTTAAGTTATTGATATAAAATAAAGATTAATTATTTATAAGATGACGTAAATAACTTTGGAATTAAAAGTTCGGCTATCTCGCGATGGCTTCTATTTTTCGATAAGATTTTATCAAAAGAGATCGAGGAATTTTTTAGGTGCAGCATTCTCAGACACTATTACGAGGATAATGGTTACGTATTCGACTATATACCCTGGCTACCTCGTTATTTTGTCAGCCAGCACGTGCACAAATTTAACTGCGTGACGAATATGGCGAATAAACGTTAACGCTATGCACTTCAAGATAGTTAATTCTTTATTATGTACCACGTGCCAGTTATGGCGCAACAGCAATTATGATTATAACAAGTATCAGGAAAGTATATCTTTCAGTGATATGTATATTTATGTCGCAATTATCATTAATTCATTTATATATTTCTATACATATATATATAACGTAGGATTTATAGTTATAAAAGAGAAATACGATTTTATAATTATTAGACTACCTAAAGCAAATTTATATTATACATTTTTTGTAATCTTATATCTTATATCTGATTTGATGTTATATTGATAAATGATGTTAATATCATTTTAATATCAAAATATTAATATCTTGAATAAAATTGATTTTTTTTGACTTAAAATAATTTTTTAAAATTTCTAATAAAATAAATCTGATTTTTTATATATATATTTGAAGTATTATTTATTAAATCTTATATATTTGAAGTATGTATAGAAGAGATCGTGGTATATTAATGCCCCCCGCTCCCATTACATTTTATACAATAACTTGGTTAATAATCAAAATTTAAATTTAAAACTTAACGATTACATTCCTCAAAGTTTTGTTCAATCGATTCTAAATTTAAAATTACGAAACATTTATTACATAGGACATTATTTATAAAAATGTGGCGACACTATATTAATGACTCTAAGAAAAATAAAGATAGTAATTTGGCCTCCTACAAAAATAGATTTACAAAAGTTTTGTTAAAAAAAAAAACAGTTTAAACAGTGTTTGGTTAAAAAATTATTAAAATAGAACATTTTAGAATGTATGCAAATAAATGTATATACGTACACATAACTTCTGCATATAAACTGCTCAGTACTAAGAATCTTAGTATTAAAAATAGTACACGTAATATAAACTATGGATTAACAGTAGAGCTACAATCGATTATTAAATAATTCTTTTGATATGAAAACCTCAAAAAAGAGACCGTAAGTAATCAATATACATAGAGGGCCACATTAACAAAATGCTATGCTATTGTTTAAATTTGCATAACTCAAAATATATACAGTCAAATAAAATGTTAAATAAATGTTAAACAACACACACAAATATAGATATATTCGTGTGATAATACACTCAAGTTTAAAAAAAAATGAGGAAGTAGGTGCAATTAAATGCTAAAATGTTCCTTAGAAATGTTTCGAAATATTTGAAAATAACAATGCGTTATAATAAGTGCTGGCTATTGAGTATTGGCATATTAGCGTCATGATGTAATGGCGAGCTACTGAACAAATAATTCCATAAGTAATCATTAAAATTTGCTATATGTATAATAGCGGAGATATTAATGGAAGCTACAATATCTCCGCTGGCCATAATACCACCTTCTCCTCTAATAAATTAAAAGCCAATCGAGAATGTCGATAATACAATCAATAAATTAATTACGGATCCCAACGCTCCTTGATTGTAATTAATATATGATAAAGCTTACTAAAGAGTTGAAAAATTTATGGAAGGGGGAGAGAGAGGAGTTCTGCTATACAATTTAATATGTCACTCATTTAAATTTATATGTATGTATCTCTTAGCTTACGAGGGTAACCGATGATGTCAATGTAAATGATGTAGATGATTTCAATAAAACATGCTGCAAACAGCTAGAACGTTTGACATCGTTTTTTCTCTCGGTAGCGACTTTTACAATACCCTTTCGTGAGTTAAGATGGTAATAAAGCGGCCGCATTCATTTAGCGTCAGGCTTTTACAAGGTGACGAGAGCCTCGCATGCCAATTATATATTTGTTGTGACTTTGTCCTCTCATGTCAAACGCCGAGATTAACCGCGTTTCGTAAAATGCGATCATTTTTATGATCCTGCGTAAAATAGATAAGCAGTTATTTAATCGTGATGCTTATTGCTATTCTACGCAATTATTATCTGTCTTCTGGTTAATACTGAATTATTTATCTACTAAGACTTGAGAATAAAAAGTAAAGTTATGCACAATTTCATCGTACGATGAAATTGTGCGTAACTTTAATTTTATATCTGAAAGTTTGCAATATTAGATTTGTTAAAGCCTTTAAAATAACTTGAACATTCCTTTATCTTTATAGTTTTGATATAAGCGAGTAATAAGTAACGAATGCAAATTAGAAGCTATGAAAAAAAGCACCGGACCACATTCCACGAATAACTAGAATGAAAACAGCAACATGTTGTTGCATTTTATATGTGTGTATAACGACAAATGGATAGACGGAGCATTGCCTCCTTCTCTCTGTGACAGTGTAGAAAGTTATTTTATCGCGATTTTATCGCTAAAATGTATAATTAAAGATGCGGAATCGGTAGGTCTGAGCAATACCTGGAGGCAAATTGTGCGCAATTTCTATATGTTATAAAGGAGAGCGGATCGAATGCGTTTCGTACTAATGCTAATATACAGGATTTATCATTTATCAACTTTCATCTTACCTATGACTAAATTTTTAAGAATTGTATTTTTTGTTAACATAAATGTTTCATTAATTTCTCTTATCGATAAAATTTCTAAATTATAAGTTGTTGAAGATAGAAAGCTTCGTCTTTTCAAAGAAACTTTAGAGAGATGAAAGCAAATAGTAGATTTTAGTAAAATATTTAATTTCAAGTGTAGTTTGCTATGATAAAAGAGTTTATAATTTTGAAAAAATTTAAAATATTTAATTTATTTGGAAGTATTTTATAGTTATAGTAATATTGAAGGATAAATCTATCAAGAGATACGTACGGTAGTATTTCGTGTCAAGTATTTAGTTTACGTAAAACTAATTTCTTTACAAAGATATTTAACCTATTTAGAAAGTTCAGCTTCCGAGAAATAATAATATTCTATAACATTTTATTGAAAAAAAATCAATTCTAAATTGATCGAAGAATTCATAGATGAAAGCAGGTCTGCAGGGGGTCACCTGCCGCATAACGTGACGTAACGCAATCATAACGTATAATAAATGTAAATCTCATAATCTCTATTCGTGTTATCTATCACAAGATATCTAAATAAATGCTTATTAAACATCAGTGAAAAATACGGGAAAGAAAATGGAGACTTCCGTGAAATTCCGACAACCCTTATCTTATTAAGTAATATCAGCATATTAATCACTTAATTGATGTTCTACATCTATATAATTTTAACTTCGAATAGAGCTCGTTTGCTTAATTTTTATGATAATACCCCAATCAGCACATCTTTAATATTTATTTTTAATATTTTTAAATATTTTTACAAATATTTTTTAAATATTTATTTAATGTAAAATTATTAAAGAAATATTAAAGAAATATTTTTTAAATATTTTGTGTGTTGATTTGGATAAAAAAGTATAATTGTAAAATTGAACAATGAAAAAATTATAATGCAAAGATAGAAAATTAAATGATAGATATATGATAGGCATTCTGCTTCTAAAACTAATAGGAAATACGTCGCGATATTCGATTTCTCACATATTCCATGGGCGTCCCTTTATCCGGCGAAATGGAGGGCGAAATGCAGTCGACGTTGGCATTACGTAAGCGATGCATGTAACTCTGCTGGCTGCGCCCGCTTATGTGGGAAGCAGATCGTAGCGGCGTATCTGTGAAAACGGCACATGCACACGCACAATCGAGAAATCGAATCGAATGTGTGATCACTGAAACGTGACTTCGAGAGCGGTTTATGTATCCAGGCACGTACTTGTTTCTCTCTCTCTCTCTTTTTCTTTCTCTTTTCCTTTTTTCCCTTCTTCACATTCGCAGGATATACTTCAGAGATATCTTACATCCTACTTATATCTACTAGAGGTAGCAATTGGGTTTAGAGATAGTCGGGCAGCTTTCTCGAAAATCCCTGTTCCGCTAGTCTAGATCACGATCCAGGATCTCTCGCCCACACAATAGCGAAGAAATTTGATAAATAGAATGAGAAATATTTTACAGTTTATAAGGCGAGTTTTCATGAATTTTAATATAGATCGTGTAGGAAATTTTCGAAAAGGAAATAATTGCATTTAGAACATTCCATTTTATTTAATATTTTATTAATAAGAATAAAAAATGATAATATTGTAATAAAAAAGTTAGGAAAAAGGTTAGAAAAATAAAAGCCTTATATAAATTGCAAAATAGATATTTCCAAACACAAATAACATACCTCCAAATATATTGTTAATTTGATACAATAAATTAATAAAAGTTATCAGTTATATATACATATACAGGGTAGTCATCTTTCAACGAAAATGACTTCAATCGTAGGTCAAATCAATATAATTTTTTCTGCAGATCCAAATATGCAATAAAAAATAAGGATTTTCATTTAAGATTTTTATTTTCTCCCCTCCCCATCCCCCGGGGGTGGGGGGTGAAGGATCGAGTTTGGTATCATTGGATGTCCCCCTTCGAGACGAACAATTTTCATTATCCACTTTTTTTGATCCAATGCGTAGTTTTCGAGATATTCAGTGCCGAAGCTTCAAATGGACCACCCTGTATAGTGTTATAAAATAATGTCTTTCAAGTAATTTACATTTTAAACACATACAGGTTTGCAACAATTTATAAAAAAAGAAATTGAATAAATCTTGGGATATTTTTTATGGAATAGTTAATCGAGCATGACTTTAAATAAATAAATAAATAATTAAATAAGTGGAAAAATAATAAATAAACTTTCAGACAATTATTCAATTTTATGTCTCGTTCTCGTCGTCTCTTTCAGTTGTTGCTTCTTCTATCGGCCATTTCCCCGCAGTCGCAGCTGGATCTATGGTACTAGTGGTCGGTGGATCGGTGATTATAATGGGCCCAAGAGGTTCCACGGTCTGTTCTTCTTTAGAAGGTTTTTCCCCGTATTTATCTTCGTTCGAAATTTCTTCGATACTTGGTTTATCCCCGAGGTCTTGAACGTCTTGTGACAATTCCATAGTGACATCGGGCATCGGTGGTACCAGTTCCATCGATGGTATCATAGTTTTTATCTGGCACTGTCGGCCCATGTAGCCCAGGGGACAGATGCATCTACAAGAAAAACGAATTTTTCCTAATATTTCTAATATTTCTAAAGAGACACACGATCATGTAATCATTATTACATTAAAATTGAACATTACAAACAGTCAAATAAAACTCATCTATTGTTAAATTTTAAGCGGATTTTATATTACGAATATTTAGAAATTTAAAAAACGGTAGAACATCATTGAGTTCTTTTAATAAAGAAAAATTATATGTGATTAATTTTTAATAACTTTAATTTTGAATGTAATAATAAAAATAATGATGTATTCATATCTTGTACATTATAATTATATATGATATAATTATAATGTACAAGAGATTAACATGTAATTAACTTATATTTAGGAAAAAAGTTGACTATAGATTACTCTATTTATATCATTTTGTAATCACGATGAGATTGAATTTTACTCTGTTACCTATAATCACCGTCCTCATGAGTCATGCTGATGCAAGTAGCGTTATTTCGACAAATATCGGGATGCTCATCGCAATAAGTCAGCTTTTCGTTACATAGATCACCAGCCCAGCCGGATTCACATCGACACTCCCATGGTCGTTTACATGATCCATGCACGCATCCAGGGTATGATACACATTCGGTGCAATTGGGTCCCGTCCAGCCGACGCGGCATCTACACGTGTTTGGTTGCCTGCAGCTACCGTGATCCCGGCTACATCCTTGCGCGCAGATCGCTAATAAACGCAACATTTTAGTATATTACGTATTGTATTATTAGTTTATTTTAACATTTTAGGATATTATGTATTGTATTATTGGTTTATTAATCTGCCTATTATAATATTATCAAATCTTTATATATTATAAAGCTATTAGAGTTAACTTGAATGATTTTATATCAATTAGAAAATGTATTATAGAATTCAATATTTGTTAAAAGGAAATAGTTTTTGTGTATCATTTTTCTGTATTAATTATTTTATTACCAATTAAAATCTTATAACTTTCATATGTATAAGATTAAAATTAATAGAGTTTTATAAGGTGGAAATCTCAGACTCCTTGGTACATAATTGTATAATATAATGAAACATTGTTAATTTTAACTTTAATGTAATTATTATATTATCATCTTAAGTCTTAGTTTAGTTTTAAAATATATTTTATTTAGATTAAAAGTTTCTTAAGAATAATTCTTAAATAAATTAGTTTGATATTAATTCCTTTAAAAAATTATGTTTTAATTTTATAAAATTGCAAAGATAAGAAGATAAATGCAATAATATTATATATTATATGTCTACTCTACCAAGAGATTTTTAAAAGAAAGATATTTCCGAGAAAAGATTGTTGAACGGCAAACATACATGATTTAAGATAGCATTTTCTTTTTTCAAATCTCGCGTATTTCAATGTATATATTTTCTATATGTTATCAAAGTCGGTTAACAAGAATCTTATGTATGTTGTAGAAAAATTCCTTCTCTCCCATTCTCTATTGTCCGAATAAACAAAAATAAAATGATTCTCGTTGATAATCACGTTTTAGTTTATTCTGGGAAGAGTTTCTCTTCTATTTGCTTTCGGGAATAAACTTACGTGTTTGACAAAGCAGTCCGGTCCAACCTGGATCGCATCGACACTCGAGGGGCCCTTGACAGGTCCCATGAACACAACCCGGCAGAACCGCGCACTGTTTGCATTTGGGGCCTTGCCACCCGAAACGACATCTGAAAGAAAGAATACGTCAAACTCTGATTTTTCTCTTTCCTATACATCTGTGTCTATAGAATCTTGAAGAAAGATCCTAGAATTTAAATTATGTTACGTTTATTGCATCAAAAGTTTTCAGTTGATATCTAATATTTTTATGACTCTATATCTTTAAATTTATAGAATATACGTTTTTATATATTTCTTTTATAATATTCTAATTTCTAAATAATTCAATTCCTTATCATACTTTCTATTTTCTACAGTAATATATCTATTATTTTATAATAATATATTCTGCCACACATAGTAGAGAATCTATCATAAAAAAAACCTAATATATTTCAGTCAAGCAATAATAAATAACAAATGTTATAAAAGAAAACAAATAAATATACAAAATTTGTTTTTATTGATAAGTTTAATATTTCGGAGTTAATAGTTTGTAAAATCAGTCTTGATGAAAATATTTGCAACAATTAGAGCATGCACGTGAACGCGTGTAAGAAGGTACAAGATTAATCACCTGCAGTCGCCGGGTTTGTCGCAGTAACCCTGACTGGAGAGGCAGTCGGGCGCGCAAATGGGCTCAGAGCAAAACATGCCTTTCCAACCGGGATCGCAGGAGCACTCGAAGCTCACGTTACATCTGAAAGTGAAAATCTCAACGTTGAGTCCCTGTCTGTCTATCAAACGGAATCGATCGATGGTCACGAGAGACTGCTCTAAGCGAGGAAGCGTTTCGTGTTACACGGAAATTAGGCTCGTTCGCTCAACCAAGGTGAAAGCAAAGCGAAGCTGATACGGGCTGTTATTCAAACGGCGTTCAATTTATATTGTACGTGTGCGGCACGATAAATCGTGCCGCATTATAACCACATGGGCGTTACATCGATATCTAGTATAATTGTTATGGCGTTATCGTATATATAATGAGAAATCGATGAACAATTAATTAGAGAGTTTAATTTTCTCATGAATATAAATAATGTTCGATTTTCGCACTCAGCACATGCAAAAAAGAAATGTATCTATATAAAATCTAAAAATATGTTTTTTAAGTAAAAGTAATAAAAATTAAATCTTATCTGATTTGAAAAAAAAGCTTTATAAACTTAAACTGCTGAAAAAATAGAACAAAAGAACCTTATATTGATGATAAATGTGTTGGCGGTCCATTACACTATAAAAGAATTTTAAACTATTTAAATAAAATAAGTAAGAGAGTTAATGAAAATTTAATATAATTAATTTAATTTTTAGTAATAACTAAATATAATAATTCAGTAATAAATTAATGTTCTATGTTTATACTTATAATTTATACATATATTATTTAATATATAATATTTGATTTTAATAAAAGAAAATAAATATGTGTAATATTTTTGCTAGAATATAGTTCGAACTTCATGCAAGATTTATTATGTTAATGTAAAGCTTTGAGAAATTTATATGTTCTCTAAAGTGCACTTTTTCTTTATTACATATCAAATGATTATACCTTCCATGCTGACATCCTGGTAAAGCCACACATTTGTCGCACAGTTCGCCGTAGAAACCTAACTTACAACGACATTCTCCTGGTCGCCGACAGTAGCCTTGAAGGGGATCACAACCCTTGCGGCAAATTGGTACATCACAGAGATCTCCAGTCCATCCTAAATAATGTTTTATTATAACGTTTTATTATAAAGATATATTAGAAAAAGAATATATACATTTTAATCATTTAATCATTAATTTTTATCTTATTAAACTGATTTAATATATTTTAATTCAGCTGAAACGTATAATTCGATCTAATTTAATAAATTACTCTTTATACCTGGCAAACATTTCACTTCACCAGCTTCATCGCAAATATAATGCGAATTCGGGTGTTGAGATGCTGGTATTTCGCACGCTTGCTTTTTCCATTTTGGAACATATCTAGATGGTTAAATTTAATAAAATGTTGATAAATTAAAGCTTGTAAATTAGTAACAAGGTTTTATATTCTCGTCAATCCGAGGAAATAGTGACATAAATACCTATCTATATGTATATACATAAATATTTATCAATATGTAAAAGTTGCGAAATGTCATTACGAATGTTTTTTTTTGGAGATTCTTTGCAGAGATTTCTTTGCAGATTCTTCGCGTTTTAATAAATCAGACGAATACTTATTAATAGTTCTATAAATACGTTTTCTCGTGTGAAAAAGAAATTTAATCACTGTGCCAAGGAAAACAACGTTCGAGAATGGTTGAAGAATGTGTGAAGTTGATTAACGCACAGAAAGGATTACCGCCTACTTAAGAGATAATCTCTTAAAAATCACTTAGTTAATGCATTCTTGAAGATAAGAAACTGTCGATTAGGTAGAATGACATTGACACGGTTAGGATTCAACAAAGCCCTGTGTGCTATTTTAATTGTGATTGTGATTTATGACGGTTCTTTCAAACCGATTGATTATATCAGGGAAGATTACGATTAAGTGATTCATTGATTAAAATGACAAAAAAAATTGATTTTTATCATTAAACCGAGATAATAGAAATTTTTTAATATTAAAAAATTTTTTGATAATAATATAAAAATTATAGAAATTTTTTAAATTTAAGATAATTCTGTAATAGAGACAAATCTATAACAAATCATAGAGCTTTTTTGAAGTTCTTTCAAGTTTATTTTTATAAATATATTTTGTAAAAGATATAATTTTGCAATATATATATATATAGACATAATAAGTATACAGTACGGACAAATTAATTTTTCAATATTCGAAAAGTTTTAAATTGTAAAATATGAATTTGAATTATATATAATTATATATACAGGGTGTCAGGATTATTCCTCTTACTTTCATTTTTACACAAAAAATTCATTTTTACGTAAAAATAAAAATAAGAAGTTTAACATCCAATAGCTTTCATCTTGACAAATGTTATCCAGGATCCTGAACAACATTCAAGAGAGTACACAAAGAAAATTGAAAACAGTAACATGTCACCTACTGATGAGATCAAATACTCTAAGTTCTACTTATACACAGAATCTGGAAATTATGTGTGCAAGTACAACAATTAGATAACATCGGTTAACATGAAAAATTGTATGTGAAAAAGAAAAAAAAACAACGGATTATATGAACATGTAAAGAAAAGAAGATACTCGACATTTAATCGTAATAGGATTGTATGTTAATTTTAGTTATATACTGATGATGGCCCGATATGAGGTCGAAACGTCTATGTATAGTTGATGATTATGTTAGAAATTATAATTGAATGTATTTTTAAGTATTGACTTCGGAAGAAGATTCGCCATTAGATATCGAGCGCTCGTGGTAAATGCCCTTTATTTTAATTGTTTTTAACGTTCAAGAGGTTTTAGCCATCGGTCGGACAAATTGCATAATGCTAATGTCGGCTGTACTGTAACTTTCGAGCCTTATAACTCAAAAAATTCTAATAATGAAAAAAAAAATTTTATTATAGTGTTTTGAAAAGCTCTCGAGGTAAGCTACAAGAAAATGTAATGAAAAATAGGGTGTTCCACTTAAAAAAATCGACGTGGCCTTGACTTGGCTATGGCGACGCCATCCAACGTCAAATCAATGGTACCTTCTTATGTCCCCTTCCGAATCATACAACTTTTGTTTAAAACATTTTTCCTTATCTACCATAGTTTTCGAGAAATCTTAATGCATTATTTAAAATAGGACATCCTGTATAATTATATATAATATAATTTTAGAAATATAGATTCTAATTATATAGAAATATATATTATAATTATAGAAATATACAAATATATATACATATTAGGTCCTATATAAAAAAATTATTTAAGATCATTGTTTTTAAATAAACTACTTGCGATCTAAGCAGATCTATGATCTACGATACCTGGGCCCGGCAGCGAGTCCGACGGGCAGCACGGAGGCTCCTAACACTGCAGCAATCCTGATTAATCCATTGTTCGCGTTCGATTGTGCAAGTTGATGAGGAAAGTTGACCAGAAAGACGGCGAATAGCAGTGGTATCATCATCGTGGCTTGACTTCCGAGTCAAGACTGGGAGGACGAAGACGTTCAAGGCGAAGCTTAGGATAACGGGACCTTGTTCGAGGTCACGGCATACTTTTCACCGTGCGTGTGTGCATGTATCGTAAGTAACGTACGTTCGCCTGGTACAGCTCTGACTTTTTCACCAACTCATCGCGTCATTCGAGTTCAATACCCTCTGTGGATGAGAGGCTGAAGAAAGTAGAAAGAAAGGGCCTTCTCCACAAAAAGTTATTTCGAAAATCTAAGGAGAGTCTTCTAAGATACTTCTCTGAGCCAACTATAATTACTTATAAACAGTTTTTTATTCGATTCTTTTTCTTCGATAAATTAATTTTTTCGAATTTTGAGATACCATAGAAAGTTAGCAAATTTTCAAATGTTATTTTTTTAATTAAATCAACGGAATTATTTCTAAAACCTCTCTCTCTCTCTCTCTCTCTCTCTCTCTCTCTATCAGAAATTATATTTCTATAAAACCTATGGAGGGGTACAAATGAAACTTGCGTTAAAATTTGGGATGCAAAAAGATGAGGTGCCAACTTCACACACGTCTTGATTTATGGATCTGTAAAGTCAGCACGATATTCTATTAATATAAAAAGAATAATGGCAGTTTCAATAGCACTCTCTCTCTCTCTCTCTCTCTCTCTCTCTCTCTCTCTCTCTCCATAGTTCCAAAGTTCCTTATAAAAATAAAAAAGTTCCGCATTTTTTATAATAAAGAACCAAAAATGAAAATATGGCCTGCTAACTTCGTAAATTTAGCACTTTCTTTTCTAAAGTACAAGAAAATGATAAATATTATTTTTATCACAGTACTATTCGAGTTTTTCGTTAGTATCGTAAATATGGGTGACTTAAGACAAGTGTAGGTGACTTGGGACAGCATGTATTTTTGTTAAATTCAATCGTGGAATCCATCCATGACTCTCTAAAGAAAGTTAAGTTAAGTTTAAGTTTTAAACTTCTTTTAAACTCATGGATGAATTCCATGACTGAATTTAACAAAAATATATGTTGTCCCAAGCCACCTACATTTACGGTTCCACTCGAATTTTACGAATAGGGTAAGAATGGATAAGATAGCCATCTTTAAAATGCAAAAAACATATTTTAATTTTTGTCATCTTTAATAATGTTATATTGGTATATCTTTTTCGTGTGTCGGAAATAATATTACCCTATATATAATTTGAAAATCAATGTACATAATTTCAAAATTTCAACAGTTACCATTTTTTATATTTTTTAAATATAGAAAACACCATGATACTTTTTCTCCAAGCTTCTATATTTAAAGTGTATAAAAAGTAATTGTTGGAATGGTAATTATTGGAATTTTTGTCAAATTACATATATTGATAGAATTCGAATAGCACTAACGAGAATTATTGTCAAAGTAGTAATATTTATCGTTTTCTTGTACTTCAGAGGGGGAAGATCATGCTAAATTCACGAAATTAGCACAACATATTTTCATTTTTTGTTTTTTAATGTAAAAAATACAGTACTTTTTTTATTTTTATAAGGAGAATTATGAAAAGATAGAGAGAGAGAGAGAGAGTGTGCTATTGGAATTATCATTATTTTTTTATGTTAATAAAGTGTAGTGCTAACTTCACAGATCCTATGTAAAAGAATATGTAACATAAAATGAAGAATTTTTGGTCTTGACGTATATTTATTTATAGTTACGAATTATAATATAATACAAATATTATACAAGACTGCAGCTATATATTTACAAATAAATATTTGGAGTTCAACGCTGCTTGTCAATTTTCGGCGATAGGAACTCTTAGAATTCAGTCTATTCGTTGCATTGCATTGAGCTAGAACAGCGTTTATATGTTTATGTACCCCATTATTATGTAAAAAAGATATTCAAGAGTTTGTAAAATTTCAACTAATATCGCTATTTTCTTATTCACTATTCGTATATCTTATAATACTAAGCTCACTTTGTACATTTGATCTTCCGACATCCTTTGTCTTCGCACACATAGTTATTTATAACAAAATATTTACAAAAATACTCTTAATTAAATTAAACAATTTAATAGCATACAAATCAATAATGTTCGATACATTTCGCAACGTATGCACTTGCATTTATATTATATATTGTCTTCTTTTTGTTGACAATTTCGCTTAAAGAGAAAACTGCTACTCTAAGATTCAGTTAATATTAATATATAGTATGTTATATCAATAATAAAATGTGATCTAACAAGTTTTACAGCAATATTTTTCTCTTTCATATAAAACTGTTCCAATAACATAGTATGTGCCAATTAGTTTTAAAAATATATTCACTGAATCTTAAACTATTTACCCATGAAATTTACAATTTACTTTATTCTACAAGTAAATGGTTTTAATTTATGATTTTTTAAAGAATCATAAATTTTATTATATTTATCTGTTGGCCATTTTTATAAAGTGTAAAAGATTTTCTTAAAAATCTTCATCGTTAAATTTTTGATAAATATGATATAATGTAGATAGTGTGTGTCAGGAATGCAGATGATTTGTTTGCCTTTGTAGCAACAAAACGGGTAATATCCGATCACCTTTCATCGTACATGCTGTTGAAGGCGGAAGACCATGCTCTTTCACAATAGCAAGTAAAGTCCCTGAGTTGTTCTTGCTAAGTTAAGCAAGGAAAAAAGTTCTATCAAATTTTTTAAAAGATTATCTAGCTTTTCTGAATCACGTTTGCTTTCTCGCATTTTATGTTTTGCGTGCTCGAATTCGCATCTTGTGCTTTTATACTTGTGTTAACATTCATGTTCGTTTCGTTGACCCACAGTAGATTGTCTGTGGAGTGACTATGTTGTCTGTGTTCCAAGCTAGTCAACACTCGATCCATTAGTTTATTTTGCAATTGCTGCTTCAGGATTTTCTCCTTTAGTATCTTCTCCGACTTCGTCAAGCCCTCCTCCATCTTACTTTTTTTTCCATTCTTTATTCGATTTCGTCTAAATAAATATATAATAAAAATAGAACAGAAGAGTCCCACCATTAAGAATATAAATATCAAAATTTTCGGATCATTGATGTACTTATATAGCTCCCAAATCGATATTTTGGGACTCTTGCAGTCACCAGTGTCGACGACGATCGGGTAGCTACCGGGACCGTCGTTGGTGGCTATTCTGACCAAATATTTACCACACGGCAAGGAAATCTGTGCCGATTCGCTGTCTGTTACCTGTAAGAATAGAAATAAGTTTTATGCACGAATTCGAATTATCATTAATATCCTATTTTTATTTAGATTTTGACATTACTTATAGAAAGTGTAGTTTTATTCGTTCGTAAAGTATTCGATCTAAACAAGATTTATAAATGTATGTTTAAAAATGCATGAGATATTTTGTTATTGAGAAGAAACAGTATATTTTAAAATAAATTTTAATATCACTAAAATATTGCTATCAACTTTTATTATTTTATTGTTTCACTACTAATACTTCTTTTTCATTTTGTTTTAAGTTAGAATTCTTATTAAATTTCTCCTTTTTGGAATTTAAGTATTAGTCATTGTCAGAAGAATGTCATTTTACTAAAAAATTTAAATATATGAAAGAGAAAAGCATAAACAGAAGACTATTGTAGTAAGACTGTAAATGATATTTGTAAAAACTTGATTCTATTTGAGAATATCTTTTTTATTTCTTTAACTAATTGTAACGGATTTCAGAGAGAGAGAGAGAGAGAGAGAGTTTATTTAAAAGTACTACTTTGTATTTCTCGAAACAGTCGTAAAGAGGTCGAAATTGCGAATCGAGTCAGATTCGAATTCACTTGCAAAACATTTAATTACCTGGTTGCCCATAATACCGTCTCCCGTCTCCTGCTGCCAAGTAACGACGAAAGACGATTTATACTGTTTCTCTTTCACGGATTGGCGCTTAAAGTAATTTGAGGTAATCCTTTCGCGTTGATCTTTCAGTTGAATTTGCCAATCCTCCCATGTGATATAGGCCTGGTAGAGAGGGCCACCGGCTTTGAGCAATTGTAGTTTTGGCCACCACTTATCCCAACTATAATTTATTAATGATAAAAATAAATAAGAGAAAGGAAGTTTAATAGATATCTTATATAAAAATTACGGAAGTAACTTTGGAAATAATTATTGTTTCGATTATACTATAATATTCGCATTTCTTTGAAATAAACTCATCACAAACAACGATTAATAATAATCACAATAAACGAGACAATATATTATTTTTTATTTTATATTGTGAATATTAAACCTTTAAAGTCTCTAACTGCACTTTTAAACGTTTCTGTCAAGTATGAAATTTATTTCTGTTTAGACTTTTTGTATTTTTGAAATTATTCTTCTTATTATATTGTTTATATTCTCTCTATTCTCTCTCTCTTTCTCTCTTTGTGGAAGTATCGTAAAGATCATATTGAAGAAGATAAAATACCTGTAGTGTTTGACCACGCCATCGTCCGTGACGACGATGATCCAGCCACCCGGTATCATTGCAGGTTGCTGTTTTGCGTAGAAATAATTTTCTTCTTCCCATACTCCTTTCTCATTTTTTTGCATTATTACGGCAATGTCATAGTTATTTATATGGAATGTTTTATTTTCTTCAGGAGCTGGTAATTTGGTCGGCTCATATTTATCTTCCTCTATTCCACGTGTCTGATAAAATGTGTACGCGGTTTTGCAACCTTGGATCTGAAACAGAAAGATATTATAAGATTACAAAAAAAAGTGCATAAGAAATGTATCGATCATATCTGTATTATACATTATAACATCAATTTGCATGTGAGATAATGATAAAGTTTTATACATATATTAATTGAACTTTTTTTCTTACATTTACATGAAGACATTTCATAAATCTTAATTTTTTGTAGGATGATTAAAATTAACAAAGATAACACAAGAAGTAAATAACTTTTTCTCTAAATATTTGAAAAATCCCCGTGTTTTTACTAGAGCTAGCATTATCCATACATTGGA